TTTTAAATTCCTTATTTCTTCATTATTTCTCCCATTGTAACTTCTTTGTATGTTTATGCTTTCTCTCCTTTATTCCATTTGTTGGCTAATGGTTTCTTTCCACTGATTTATTTTTCCCCCCCCTACGGATCTTTTCAAGGAACCAGACTTTTTATTTATTTATACAGCTTTGTGTTTGCCACTCACTAGTTCTGTTTTTATCTTTATTTCTTATTTGTTGTTTTCCTATTTATTGTTCTTTTCCAACTTTCTGAGTTACATGCTAAAATCAATTTCTTTTCAGTCTTGGTTTTTGTTGATAAATTTAAGGCTACTGATTTTCCTCTGGCATTTGACTTTAATCTCATAGATTCTCCTATATACTGTTTTTATTGTTTTTATAAGAATTCTACGGTTTCATTTTGTAGTTCCCATTTGATTCAAGAATTAATAGTTTAAAATCTTGGTTAAGTAATGTTTTTATTTTCTGATTTTCTTAGAACATTTTTATTATGTTGCCTTCAGATCATTTTTTTCTGTATTAACCAGTTGGTTAATTTATTGGAATTTATTGAGGTTGTGCTCCAGTATGTGATCATTTTTCATGAATGGGTTTTTAAAAAGCAGATGTATATTCTTACAGAGTTAAATATATATAACTGTAGGATCACCTTATTCATTTTATTGTTTGAGTTTTATCCTCTTATTTTTCCTTATTTATCCCTTTATTTAAAAAATAATTCTTTTTTTAAGAGAATTTTTAAGAGAGAAAGAGTGTGTTGAGTAGGGGGAGGGGCAGGGAGAGAGAGAATCCCATGCAGCCTCTTTGCTGCCCGTGTAGAGCCCTACGTAGGTAGGCTCAGTTTCACAAATCATGAAATCATGACCTCAGCCAATACCAGGAGTCAAATGCTCAACCAACTGAGCCACCCAGATGCCCCTATTTCTCCTTTTGTAAGTTTAGTAGTCCATACCTTATGGAAGTTGATGTTATATTATTTGGTGCATGGATAACCATAACTATTAAAATTGATGTTATCATTATAAAGTGGCCTTCATCTCATTTACAGCTTTATTTCTAGGATTCTACCTTGACTTATATTCAGTTGTGTCCTCTGATATCTTTTGCTTGTCTATTAAAAAATTTTTTTAATGTTTATTTTTAAGAGACAGAGAGAGCATGGGTGGGGGAGGGGTAGAGAGACAGAGGGAGACACAGAATCCAAAGCAGGCTCCAGGCTCTGAGCTGTTAGTACAGAGCCCAACACGGGGCTTGAACTTACAAACTCTGAGATCATGACCTGAGCCACAGCTGGATGCTTAACTGACTGAGCCACCCAGGCGCACCCCATCTTTTGCTTGCCTATGTAGACCTTTGCCTATGGTTTTATATTGAATTTCTCTGAGTCACTTTGTTTTACATATATATTTTAGGATATAGCATAGAACTGGGTGTTGCTTTGTGATTAAATCTGAAAATGTTTTTCTTTTTAAGTAGATTAAGCTTAGTTGCTTTTACTGATATGTCAGACATACCTGGTCACAGTTACATCATACCGTTTTATGTTACATTTTAAATTTTTTACCATGTGTTATATTTTATTTTCATTTTTGTTTTGATTATTCTGCCCTTAGGAATGTACATATTTTTGTTTTCATGGTTTGTTTTTATTCTTTTTTTTCTTTTTTTTTTTTTTTTTAATACTACCCGAGTCCTCTTTTTCCTGCTTTGGTTCCCTCAACTAGGAATCAAATTCAACAAGAAAATTAGCTTATAGTTCCAACTGTATTTAAATCTTATTACCACATTTCATTGTATCTGAGAGATGGAGTCTACTGTTAGACACACCATTATTTATGTACCACTTAGGAAAGAAAGGCTGCCAATTACATTGTGATACACTATCAACCATAATGCATATCTTGATTTTAGAGATGTTAAAATGTGAAAAGAAAATATGTTTTAAAGTCCATGAAATAGTATCTTATTGTTTATTAAAGTATTTTTAAATATGCTAAAATTTATTCTTATTGGTTAACTCTAAATGATAATTCTCTTTTTAAAAATTTTATTTATTTATTTTGAGATAGAGAAAGAGTGTGAGCAAGGGCAGGGCAGAGAGAGAGAGGGAGATGGAGAATCTCAAGTAGGCTCCACACTCACTGGGGAGCCCGATGTGGGTCTCTATCTCATGATCATGAGATCATGACCTGAGCTGAAATCAAGAGTCAGATGCTTAACTGATTGAGCCACCCAGGTGCTCCTACATGAATTCTTTAACTTTGAGCTATTATATATGAACCACTCCATCAATGTTTTCTACTTTATACCTTCTCTCTCCCTTCTTCCTTTTTGCAAAATTTCTCCGATCATCTTTTGGTTGGCTGAAACTGATATTCTCATAGAACCCTCAGGAATACAACATTATTCTGAGTTCTTGCACGTTGAAAACTCTTTGAGCCTGTATACTGGAAACACAGTTGTGCTCCAAATAAATATGCTTGGCTTACATTTTCTTTCCTTGCATGTATTGTGGGTACAGTTCTGTTGACGTATGGTGTTGAATGTTGTCATGCTAACCTGGTTTTCCTTTTCTTGGAAGTCCAGATTTTTTTTTTTTTAACGTTTATTTATTTTTGAGACAGAGAGTGACAGAGCATGAATGGGGGAGGGGCAGAGAGAGAGGGAGACACAGAATCTGAAATAGGCTCCAGGCTCTGAGCAGTCAGCCCAGAGCCCAATGCAAGGCTCGAACTCACGGACCGCGAGATCGTGACCTGAGCTGAAGTCGGACGCTTAACCGACTGAGCCACCCAGGCGCCCCTTTGAAGTCCAGATTTTACCTGGATGAGTCTCACGTTCATTCGAGGTGATTTCCCACAGGTACACAGTATGTCTTTCAATTTACATCATCTTTTATTTCAGAAATGGTTTACTGAATTATAATTTTGTTATTAAAAGAATCTCAAAATTAGGGGAAAGTTACAAAAAATTTTCTTTCCTTTGAAGTATTTGAAGTTGCCAACATGAATGCCCCAGTGTCCCTGATCACATCAATGTGTATTTCCTGCTTACAAGGACGTTTTCCTTTATAGTCGCAGCACAACCATCAGAGTCAGAAGATTGATACTGATAGATGATTATCTTCTAATGCTGAGTCCCTCCATTCAAATTTGCCACTTGTCCAGGATTAGGCACTGTATTTACTTGTCTGTCTTTTAATCTCATTCATTCTGGTATCGTTCCTCTGCTTTACCGTGGCTTGTCATGTTGACCATGACACTTTTAAAGAATACAGGCCAGTTATCTTGCAGAACGTCCCTCAGTTTTGTGTGATATTTTGTCATGTTCTACATTTTTGGCAGAAATGGTACAGAAGTGATGCTGTTGTCTCTTAGCATCTTACTGGCTGGTGTATGGTTTCGGTTTTTCCCCATTCTGATTAAGGCAGTATCTGCCAGATTCCTCCACCCTGACATATTCTTTTTCTTTTGGTTAAATAATATGTATTTTGTGAAGAGGTATGGAAAAGTTCCATTCTTCCTCCGATTTTTATCCATGTATATGTTTAGATGAGTATGAACTCATGGAATCCTTTGTTATTCAATGGGCTATACATTATTATTCATTATAGCGCTTAAATATTTCCAGATTTGGCCAGTGGGAGCCCCTCAAACCTGACTCTTGTGTGCTTTGAACAGATCTTCATTATTCTTACAGCACTTTCACTTTCTGGCTCAACAAGATATTATAGATTCATGTTGTATCTTCCAACCCTAGAATTAACCGTATCTCCAAGGGGCCCTCATTCCTTTTAGAAGAGAATGGTATTTGGAAACCAAGATCTAGATTTACTTCTAGATTTCTCAGTGGACAGATAGAGCTATAGAACACACACACACACACACACACACACACACACACACACACACACCTGTAATTCTAATCCAACACCACAAGGTTCATTTTAACCCTCAACCTTTCCCTTTGGTAACTCTCTTATCTCACAATGAGAAACCTCACTCCAATGTATGTACAGCTGACACCCGCACAATGCAGGGGTCAGGGGTGCTGACCCCAGTGCAGGTGAAAATGCATGTGTAACTTTTGACTCCCTAAAAACTTAACAACTAATAGCCTACCATTGATTGAAGTCTTAACTGATCCCATAAACAGTCGATTAAAACATATTCTGTATATATATTATATACTATGTTGTTACAGTAGAGTAAGCTAGAGAAAACAAAATGTTACTGAGAAAAAACATAAGGCAGAGAAAATACACTCACAGGAAGTACTGTACCATATTTATTGAAAAAAAACCTCACATATAAGTGGACTTGTGAAGTTCAAACCTGTGTTGTTCAAAAACATGGTCCTTGAGCAACACAAGTTTGAACTGTGTGGGCCTACTTATACATGGATTTTTTTCCTGTACTGTAAACATAACCCCTGCATTGTTCAAGGTTCAACTGTATAAAACATGAATGATGATTACAAGAGAAAAATTATCATCTCCAAAGAGTATACTCACCAAACCCTGCACGATAATCCCACAGTGACTGTACAGCTGTAGGACCAGAGTATCTGGCTGAGAGCACCAATAAAAGAAGTAGCACATAGGGGTGCCTTGGTGGCTCAGTCGGTTAAGTGGCCAACTTTGGGTCAGGTCATGATCTTGTGGTTCATGAGTTCAAGCTCTGCGTTGGGCTCTGTGCTGATAACTCAGAGCCTGGAGCCTGCTTCGGATTCTGTGTCTCCTTCCCGCCACCCCCCCCCCCACCCGACCTCATATCTCTCTCTTTCTCAAAAATAAATAAACATTAAAAAAAAAGAGGTAGCATGTAGAATTGAAATAATTTGTTATAAACAACAACAGCTAGATTCGCGGAGAAATTTTCGGAGTTGGTAATTAGTGCTGTAAAGAAAGCAAATAATTTCAGTTCTTAATCAGAACTTTTTTTTTTTTTGTAAGCACATTTCTAATAAAGCTATCTTTACGAGAAAGTTAAAATCTTACATTTTCATCAAAGCCTTCTCTTCTGGCTTGCTCAGCCAAATCGCCTTTCATACTAAGAATGTAAAATAAAATAAAGATCAGAGACCTATGACAGTAGAAAGGGAAAATAAAGTATGATCAGCTCTATAGTAAGGATGATAATTGCATTTCTGGTCTTTCTGATAAGACTCATTATTTGGAAAGTGTCATTAATAGAAAGTCTCCAGAGTGTCACATCTCTAGCTATAAAATAATGTTTACAGTCTGTGCCACTGCCAGAGGTCTGGGTTTGGGAAGCATTTGGACACCAAAGTGATTGAATAAATAAATGTAAGTGTATCCTTAAATATTTTATGTAAAAATGTTTTTATTTTCATAGCTAAGTGAATGCACTTAATGTAGACTAACAGTTTTTCCTCCCTTCTCAGGGGGACTTTATTCTCCTGTGCAGCTTTCTGTTAAAGTTCTTTCTGAGTGGCACAACACGCTTTATATTAATTTTTCATTAGCTTAGCTTGGAGCCTCCTGGCGCTCTCAGAATTAGGAGGCCCTAGTGGATGATGTATTGACAACGTATTTAGAATAAGCACTTGGGATGGTGGCTGTTTTACAATCAAAACCTTACTCTCATTGCAAGTTTCTCATATAATATACAGTTTTAAATGGCAAAATTTTAAGCCATCTTACCTTTTATCGTCTTCATCCTTTTGAGGTTTCTTCAGTCTAAGTTTTTCAAGAGCATTGTTGTAACTCTGGACATAATTAAAAATAGTTTAAAAGTTCATCAAAAATACATCCTGTATTAATTAAAAATTTTTTTAATGTTTATTTTTGAGAGAGACAGAGACAGAATGTGAGTGGGTTAGGGGCAGAGAGAGGGGGAGAGACAGAATTCGAAGCAGGCTCCAGTCTCTGAGCTGTTAGCATAGAGCCTGACGTGGGGCTCGAACTCATGAGCTGTGAGATCATGACCTGAGCCGAAGTCGGACGCTCAACTGACTGAGCCACCCAGGCGCCCCATCCTGTATTAATTTTGATCAAGGTAAAAGAAATATGGAATGCTTGTCTCTAGGGACTACTCCCCTAAAGAAATGTGGAGGCGGGGCACCTGGGTGGCTCAGTTGGTTTAAGCTCCTGTCTCTTGATTTCAGCTCAGGTCATGATCTCATGGTTGGTGAGTTTGAAACCCCATGCTGGGTTCTGCGCTGACAGCACAGAGCCAGCTTGGGATTCTCTGTCCCCTCCTTCTCTGTCCCTCCCCCACTTATGCGTGCGCACTCTCTCTCTCTCAAAATAAATAAACTTTAAAAGAAATATGGAGGGAATGCTATGATTTCTTTCACTTTGTCACCACTTATGTTTTCTGCCTACTGGTGAAAAAGAGAAAGGGGTTCTCTTGTGGGCATCACACTTGAAATTGAAAAAAAAATCTTTAAAAAGTTTTATTAACATGTATTGCATTTAATGATGTAAACACTTTAATGCACATAACCAACATCATAATGAGATAAAAGATGAAAAAACCTACAATTAAGCTCACTGGGGGACATATTAATGGCTTCCTTTTACAGATACGTTGTTGGACCGAGTTTTGAAACTCCACTAGCCTCATGGCCATTAGGACTTTTTCTGTGTGAAGTGATATGGTTAGAGCCATGGATGTGCAGAGATGGGTGAGATTGTACACCTGTGACTACTAACCACGCAAGTGAGGTAGGTGTTGAGAGGACAGGGGCGATACCACTGTCAGGGAGAATAGTATGTCAGTGAGGGAATGGAGGGAACGTTGCTGGGGGCGGCAAGTGACCTGAGCAGAGGCCCAGAGGGGAGAGCCAGTGATGGTAAACAACACTGTGTGGGTGCGTGGGTGGCTCAGTCAGTTAAGGGTCAGACGTCGCTCAGGTCAGGATCTCACGGTTTGTGAGTTTGAGCCCCGCATTGGGCTCTCTGCTGACAGCTCAGAGCCTGGAGCCTGCTTTGGATTCTGTGTGTCCCTCTCTCTCTGCCCCACCCCTGCTTGCACTCTGTCTCTGTCTCTCAAAAACGAATAAACGTTTAAAAAAAATTTAAACAGCACAGTGCTCAAAACACTAGCTGGGACGCAGTGCTGTTGAGTAGAGGCATCCACCCAATTCTTTGGGTAAAGAATTTGGACTTATTTTGACAGGCCCAGAGAGACTGAAGAATTTTGAGTAGAGAAATGATATCAGAGCTGGATAGGCACAGGAGAGGGGCCATAAGATGTTGCTATAGAAGATGTTCCTACACAGGAGGCTGGGTGAAAAGTACTGAGGGGCCCCACTCCGGTGGTGGCAGTTAGAATTCAACATGGCCTGGATTTCACAAATGTGAACAAAAACTGCATAGATGAACTTTACACACAGGCCGTGGCAACCAACTATACGAGGCAAAGGGAGTAAAAAAATTCAAGGCTTTTAAGCCTGGAGTGACTGTTCCTGTTGCCATTAACAGAAACAGGAAAATGAGGAAGATAAGGCACATGGAGTTCTGAGTTTAGATTGTCTATAGAAATTTACTAGCATCTAAATTGAAATTTTTGGAGGGAAGAGAGAGTTTTATTACAAAACCCAACAGAGCTTTGCATTTAGTAAACAGCTCAGTTGCTATTTGATATACTGAAATAATTTTGGCCACCTTTTTAAAGCCAGAAAGAAATCTCACTTCTCTGGTAGTGACATAATACAGATATGAGCAAGACTGGACCAAAACAGAAAACAACCCCACTCCCAACCCAAAAACCCACCACTGCTTGGGGTTTAAAGTACAGGAGTAAAAAGTGAACAAGATTTGTCTTAGAATTCTAAATAGGAAAAGAAGTAGACATACCTTTTTAATCATTTCACCAAGTTCAAAATCTGGCCTTCTGCCTATTGAATAATCAGCTTTCACTTCAGAATAGGTATCGTTAATAATTGCCAAGAACATGTTCTGGGAAGAAATAGTCACAAAAATAATTATTTCCATAAAGATTTAATGTAAATGTTACTGACTCTGATGACTGCTGGGATTTGTAAAATTAGATTTAAAAATTTTAAAGTAGTTCATATGCTCAGTAATAGAGAAATGCCTATGCAGACTGTAACACAGCAGAATGGGAAATGTATAATGTGTGGATATAGGCAAATAAGTTTATGGCAAATGAGAAAAACAATGTAAAATAATGCATATGAACTGGATACTAATGCATATATATATATATATATGTAGATATATATGTAGATAGATAGATATATATATGTAGATAAATATATTAACTGATCAACATTGAATATCAGACGAAAACAGAATAACGTAATTATATGTACATAAGAGTGGTTTTTGTTTTTTGTTTTTACTTGCTCCCATATTTAAAGTTAGTTTTTATTAAACATAAGAGTATCACATTCGTACATATCCTGTTCTCTCTGGCACCACTGCCAGAGGAAGACAGCGGTCTTTATAACCATTATCAGAGTCAGGAAGCAGGGTGGTAGAGACAGCTGTTAACTTAAAACCTCTCACAGCTCAGACAGATTCTACTTCCCTCTATATGGCCACAACGATCCAGTCTTTGTAGCCCTTCTAGATTCCATCAAAAGAAAGGCTTTTACCGGAGGCAGGTGGCCTGGTGGTATGGGAAAGCTAAATCTTAGTGCTGAGGAAACAGGAACCTCTCCTCCACTTACTGGCCTTAGTGTAGGAGGAGAATGGGAAAATCCTCAGGCCGGGAAGCTTAATTTTTTTTTTTTTTTCAGACTATAGGGTCACTTTTGATTGAGGCAAAGGAGCCCTATAAGAGTGGTTTTTTAAAGTTCTCTAAAGCTATTTAGATGCACAGTCTTACTAAGGCTCTTAGGAATACTCTGTCCAAATAATACAAACAATTGTGGAGAGGGTATTCTTACCCCCAACCCACCTCTCCACCTTTCACTGAGGCCCAACTCTGTCACTCTGAGGACTTTTGGCCACCACCAGGGGATAACTGCTGTGTGTGACAAAAATGTTGTCAAAGAGGGAAAGCAAATTTCCTTGATTAGGAAGGCCAAATAAATTCGTCTTGAGCAGATGTGAAAGACCCATCCTGGAGACTCCTAAAAACCACAAAGATACGTGGTTTTAGCCTTAAGGGCCAGAAGCCATTTGCAATATGGGCAGAATACATTCATCCCTTCCGGTATGCCATGTCCCAGGTTGGAGGGACCCGGGATATCCAAGTTATAGATGTAGAAGATTTAGCACATTCCTGGCACACACCTGACATCAAAATGGTAACTTTTATGATCACATTCTCCTTTGGACAACTTGGAAACATTCAGACACTGGAGTTATAGCCTAGATTACTAGGAATCCACACAGTTCCTAATAAATGTAAAAAACTCTAACAGCTAAGCAGTTATACTATAATTTCTTCTAAATTAATCATTTCATTTTTTATTCTAAAAACTAGAAGTGAAAAAGGGGACATACATGTTGTACTTACCAGCAGGACAAAGAACACAAAAAAGATGAAAGTGATGAAGTAAATGGGCCCCAAGATACGATTGGCTTGCTGAATACCAGCAAAATTAAAATCTCCAAGAACAATTCGGAATTGTGCAAATCTTTGATGGGAAGAAAGAAAAACATTATATCCCTTCATAAATACAATTGATGGAGGTTACCCATGTGTCCAGGAAAGTATCTAGCTGCATATTGCACAGGCTCTCTGGCTCTAGTTAACACAGAGTTCTATAAAACTAAGTATGGAAATTCCCCTGAGGGCAAGACAAGGTACTTCAGTAGCTGAACAGTGATTCAGGAAATGATGGGCTTCCACTTAATGAATGTTCACCTACAAGATTGGAACCGTGAGATACTTGCTTACCAGCTGGTCTTGGCAATGGCCATCTTAGCCTGTCCTGTGTCCTTCTAAAACTGGGACTACCTGACCTTGTCCAATAAGCGATTTTCAATTGTACCTACACCTAAGAACCCTAAAATTTCTAATATCAACAGTATGTTTAATTTGTACACCTCTTCTGCCAAAATAAGATGCCAACAATTTGTCACTTGCTGAATCTCAAACAGTCCTGGTGATGATCCTCAAACATGACACTGAGGTTTATTTTCTTCACTAACTATAAATCTTGGATTTGATGTAAGGTAACATCTAAAATATTATAGATCTTCATTTTATTAATTTTAAAGTTGGAAAATTAAGGTATTGAGCACAGTATTAACAGAGGTAGAATTAGGATTCCTCAACCTGATGTCCTATTTTCTCATCACTAATTTGCAATAGCATTGCCAGACACATAAGGGATATATGTTAATAAGTCATGCAGATGCATTCTTTATTTTTTTTAAGTTGAGAACTCTTTAATTTCATCTGTACTTCTACATTAAGCAATTAATTTAAAAGTATTGGAATCTTTACAAGTTAAAATTGTTCTCTTGGGAATAATGATCTTTCTAGCTATAATACTAACCTAAGCAATCTGCAGAAGCAAGTTAGAATTTTTCATAAATGGTGATAAATGTAGTTAAGGATTGTTGCCTGGGTTCTGCATTATTCTGGTCAATTAAATTGAAGCATTACTTCTAATTAATTAACATTAATATATCCATCTGTACCAGAAATATCAGATTTAACCTAAATTCCAAAGTAGGTCAGTGGGTCAGTAGATTATTAGGTTAGAAATAAGATTTACTGTAGTTTCCATTTCTTAAACTCAGGTTCCTGAGTTGATCATCTTAAATTAATAATTTAAAGATTATTAATAATTAGATGAAATTAAAATTTTTTCTTTGATTTATGTGAACAGTACATAGGAAAATGGTCTCTGTTACTCCTGTTTTGTAACAGTAGCATGTTATTTTATTAGTCATATTTTGTTTTCTGGAATGGATAACATGTATTTTATATTCCTTATGTAAAGCCAGGGCTCTAACATTGGACAGTTAAAAAGAAAAAGGCAGTGCGCCAATTTTTCTGATTATAGTAATAATGCAGTTCATGGGAGAAATTTTAGAAAGTATTAAAGAAAAAGTTTTTAAAATTCATAAGCTGGTTAGGAATAATGGCAGTTGATACTTTGGGCTTATTTTGATTTATGGTTGATGTATTTTGATGTATTTTGTATGGTTTCATGTATTTTGTTACTGCTGTTGGATGCTTAAAATGAGTTATTTATTTTAAGGGGAAGCCTGGATGGAATTTTTAATAGTATGTAGGTACTTTGCATGATTGGTTAGTCAGTCAAAAGGAAGAAGGCTTCTTGTTTCTGGTTGTTGCTGCCAAGCATGTGAAGGGAGCATACAGTTATATACAATGAAGGAAGAAAATGTACTCAAAGAAGTAGGCTACTTGGAGTCTCAGGACTCAAGAGTTACCTGGAATTTCATCCCCCGTACCTAAGAGATGATTAAATCATAATTAAAGTATTTATTCAGCTTTTAATACTGGTTTATAATGCTCTTCTACACAAACTAGAAAAAGAAAAGCTGAATTGGAAGGAGGCCAAAGTTCTGTTTTAGTGTTTCAAACTTGATCTTTTATCCTTGAGTTGGATTTATAGGAGTAAAGATAAGCTAAGGGCACCATTTCTCCTTTCCAGAAATTACCTTATTAACTAAAGCTTCCATTCAGCCTTTCTCTGTTAGGAAAGTGACAGAGTGTTCTGTAAATACAGGGTACCTGTGCTCTGTAAATAATGTGAATAACAAAACCCTAACCAATTTGCTGAATGGTTATAATCACAAAGGAACTGGAGACTTCAAATACAATGTCATTGTAATTTCCCCCTCTCAATTGTAGTTTAGTTTAGTTGGTATCTTTCAGTCCCCGCAAGCTAAAAGGAACACCATGACTGCTTAGTATACAAGGTTGTGTCAAATGAAAATACTGTTTTGTAGCTTCCTGATACCCCTGGTAACTTTCTAGATTTCTCTCTTATAAATTAAAATAGCTAACAGACTCTTCCATAGTAAGATAACATTGTGGTTAATATGACTTCCCAGTCTCTCACTTGGAGAGATTGCATATTTAGCTATTCCTCAGCATTTTCCAAATATTGTCTCTAGTCAACGGTCTGTCTTCTGTAACTCAGGTTAAACATATTGGGCCTTCTCATTCTAGGTTTCATATCTCATACCTTCTCCACCCACTTTTTGTATCTCTAGGCCTCATTTGCAGTAATTTTTGCTGGCCTATTTTTCACTTCACTCCTCCTCTCTTCATCTCTTGTTTGCTGTCAAACCTGTCAACTAGGTTTTTAATCTCAGTTACTATAATTTGCAGTTGTAGAATTCTATTTTTGATACTCTTTCAAATATGTCACTTTTTATACTGTTCTTTTCTCCAAAGATATTTTCTGGCTTGTGTTTTATTTCTCTAAATATAAGAAGTATTGCGTGATTATTCCATTATCTGAAGTCTATTGTCTGTTGTATCTGTTGGTTCTGGCTTCTGACTTTTCCTGCATCTGTACCAGGTTACTTTTCACTATGGGCAGTAAGTTATGTTTGAAAAATTGCTTGTAGAAGTAATTTGAGGCTTAGGATGAATATACCTTTCTCCAGGGTGGTTTTTTGTTTGTGGGTGCCCATACACACAGGCATTCTAGCCCGGGGCCATCTTAATCCAAGTTCAAGACATAAAGTTCCCAGAATATCTAGGTGATCATGACAGATTGATTCACCTTTAACATGAGGCTCCCTGCCTGATGTGCAGAGAGGTTACCAGACAATCCCTGGCTACCCTATCCTGCCCCTGCACCCTCATACAAGCCCCAGACTTTGCCTTCTGTCTCCTTCTCCCTGAGAGGTGGCCAGAAACACAGTTCATTAACTATTTCTTCTGGATTATCAAAATACCTTGATGATGGAGGGTTTGAAGAAGGGTTGGGGAAGGTGATACGATAACTGAAAAACACTGAAGAAGAAAAAAAACCAACTACTAGGAATATGTCTCCCCACCTAGACAACAATCACATAGGCAGAATTTGTCTGATGTAACTACTTTGGAACTCTGGGTCTATTTATGGCTTACAATTTCCAGGGGAAGGCTTAGCCAACTTTGGTCAATTTCAACTTTTGGTTTGTCAGAAGCTACCCACCTCCCACCCCCCACCCCCCCCCCCCCCCCCCCCAGCCAATGGCGGGCGGGCGTGGGTTTCTGGAACAGCTTGTATGCAACCTGTGGGAGCCAGGGTAGGCAATCAGGACCCTCAGGGATCTGTGTTTAGATTGCTGATTGCTCCTTCTGATCACACGGGTGCAGACAGAGATGCGCATGTTCCCCTGTCTGTTTCAAGTCCCTCTGCCTCTTGCTGAAGCAGTATCCTTGGGATTACAGGGCTAGTGCCCTCCCTTCCCCCTTCAATTTCTCTTTTTCCCCTTTTGGGAGCCAGGCATTGAAGACATTCAAAAGCAACAACATATACAGAGGAAATTAGAAAGTCACCACGTTTGCCCATGGAAAGGTGCAGGCTCAGTAAAGACCTGAGAAGACCTTTGCACCTCAGGATAGTTCTCAGCACAGAAACAGTATACAATAAACAACAACAACAAAACCCCAAACAGGAAACCCTGGTGAAGAGCAAGAGTCTCATTTCCAGGGTTATCACATTATTACATTCAAATATTCATTTTTCAACAAAAACAAGAAAAGACGGGACATAAAAGAAGCAGGGAAGTGTGACCCAATCAAAGGAAGAAAATTCACCAACAGAAACTATTCCTGAGAAAGACCAGATGGCAGACCTACTAGACAAAGACTTTAAAACAAACCTTTTTAAAGATGCTCAAAGAATTAAAAGACATGGAGAAAGTCAAGAAAATAATTTACGAACAAAATGGAAGTACCTATAAAGATATAGAAAACCTCAAAGAAACCAAGAAGAAATTATGGAGCTGAAAAATACAATAACTGAAATGAAAATTCACTGGAGGGATTAAGAGGCAGATTTGAGCATGCAGAAGAAAAGAAAAATCAGTGAACTTAAAATAAGATGATTGAAATGACCAAGTCTGAGGAACAGAAAGGAAAAAGATTGAAGAAAAGTGAACAGAGCCTGTGGAACACCGTCAAGAGACCAACATAAGAACATGAAAAGATTCTCCATATCACTAACCATTAGGGAAATGCAAATCCCAACCACAATGAGATGTCATGTCACACCCATTAGGATGGCTACCATTAAAAAAAGAAGAAGAAGAAAAGAAAGGAAAGAAAAACAGTCCAGAAAATAACAAGTGTTGACGAGGATGTGGGGGAACACACCCTTGTGCACTGTTGGTGGGAACGTAAATGGCGCAGCCACTGTAGAAAGCAGCATGGCAGTTCCTCACAAAAATTCAGAATAGAATCACCATATGATCCAGCAATTCCACCTCTGGGTGTATACCAAAAAGAATTGAAAGCAGTCTTGGGGCACCTGAGTGGCTCAGTTTGTTAAGCGTTTGACTTCGGCTCAGGTCATGATCTCATGGTTTGTGAGTTTGAGCCTGGCATCGAGCTCGGTGCTGACAGCTCAGAGCCTGGAGTCTGCTTCGGATTCTGTGTCTCCCTCTCTCTCTGCCCTTCCCCTGCTCATGCTCTGTCTCTGTCTGTCTCTCCCTCAGAAATAAAATGAACATTCAAAAAAAATTTTTTAAAAGAAAGCAGTCTTTTTTTTTTTTAATTTTTTTAACATTTATTTATTTTTGAGACAGGGAGACACAGCATGAATGGGGGAGGTCAGAGAGAGAGGGAGACACAGAATCCGAAACAGGCTCCAGGCTCTGAGCTGTCAGCACAGAGCCCAACGCGGGGTTCGAACTCACGGACCGCAAGATCATGACCTGAGCCAAAGTCGGACGCTTAACTGACTGAGTCACCCAGGCGCCCCAAAAGAAAGCAGTCTTGATGAGAGATTTATACACCCATATTCATAGCAGGATGATTCACATTATCTAAGACTTAGAAGAAGTGCAGATGTCCGTCAGGAGATTAATGGATAATCAAAATGTGGTTTAGGGGAGGCTGGGTGGCTCAGTCTGTTAAGTGTCTGACTTCATACTGGGTCATGGTGTCACAGTTTGTGAGTTTGATCGCAGCATCAGGCTCTGTGCTGAAAACTCAGGGCCTGGGGCCTGCTTGGGATTCTGTGTCTCCCTCTCTTTCTGCCCTTCCGCTGCTCATGCTCTATCTCTATCTCCCTAAAATAAACATTAGTTTTTTTTAATGTGGTTTATACATAGAATGGAATATTATTCAGCCTTAAAAAGGGAGGAAATTCTGACATACTGCACAACATTGATGAATCTTGAAGACATGCTAAGCAAAATCTGTCACAAAAAGATAAATACTGTGCGATACACTAAGTACCTAGAGTTATCAAAATCATAGAGACAAAAAGTAGAATGGTGGTTGCCAGGGGCTGGAGGAGGGGAGAAGTGGAGAATTCTTGATTAATGAGCATAGTTTCAGTTTTAGAAGATGAAAAGAATTCTGGAGATGCATGGTGCTGATAGTTGCACAATATCAATGTATTTAATCTCATTGAATTGTACACTTAGAAATGGGTAAGATGGGAAATTTTAGGTATGTATTACCACAATAAAAAAAATTCCTTATCAGCTTCACAGAACAGGAGGGCAAAAGAAGCCTTGGATGCTGAGCTTACTTCTCTGGGTTCTTGCCTTTTGATTTTGGTCCACTTTTTACTCTCTTTTTTTGTTAGTTCTTTAGTGCTATCTATATGTCATCTAGCTTTTTAAATTGTCCTGAAGAGGAGGTTGATCTCAATAACCTAGCACTTCATTACCAAAAGCAGAAGTGTCTTCATTAATGCATTCCAAAGTTGTCTACCTGTTTATGCTGAGCCTTATACTTCTTTTCTTTCCCACTCTCTAGGGTAAGAACAGTTTCCAAGTTCTGTAAATTACTACATTTATAATCGATGTCCAGTACCACTAAGTTTTATTATTAAGTAACACTTGAATTAAAATCCTAGGAAAGGACCGAGAAGTTGTTGGAACTGCAAACCTAATTCACTCAAGAGAAAGCTAATTAGACTTCTCAAATTATAGGCTGTTTGACATTGGAAGGGATCATTGGGAGTAGTAACTTAATCCAGTTCCTTCATTTGCAGATAAAGAAATAAAGGTCTAGAAAAGCTGAAGAGCTAAGTGGCAGAATTCAAAAGTAGAATTATATCCTCTGGGTTCCTAGTTCATTCTTCTTTTCACTACTGATAAATGAAATTTCATATAAATGCCACTTCAAATATTTCCATGCGGATGGTAAAAAGAGGGCAATCTAGAACATTTCTTTACACCAAAGTTTTCCCAAAATCAAATAAAAGGGCATGGACAAATAAGTTTGGAGAATTCATAACTAAAGTTAGGAAAGTTATTACAGTTTTTCTTAGAGCCATCTGTTAATATGCACTACAAATTTCCAACAGAGTGATGCAAAATTTCCCAAACTTACTTAAATATGAAGCCATTTCCCCCCAATCTTGGTCTAAATTACACAGAACATATTTTGAGAACTGATATTTTAGACTATCATAATTTTCTTACACAACCAGAACTTGTTTTACATACCCAGAAAGGAGAGTAAATTTATTTAAATTATTCAGTTAAAAAGAAAAAAAGCCTGAAAACTTTGCTAAGGATTCTAACTGATCAGTTCTATAAGTGTGTTGTCTAATTGCTTTATTTGTCTAAAAATATTTTTAAAACACAGCTTTGCCAGATCAGCAAAGGATAATCAGATCAGTATCAATAAAAGGATCCTAAAGATGGAGCTCTTAAAGGAAAACATTTAAGCTTGCTTTTCCCCAGAGAATAAATTATTACAGAGACACAGAAGCCAATTTCTGTTATATTTAACAATCCCCATGAAAGTGAAAAATTATCTTTCTAATTTGACCTTGTAATATTTAAAAAATGGACTGCACCATCCATTTGGTCTTCTAATGCTAAACACTACTTTGAGTGTGACAGGTATTTTGCCATCGTTGAAAATATAAAACCAAGTTTAAATTTGTTAAAATGTATGTTACTACTTATCATAGGCCTTCCTTATAAACTAGTAAATAGAACTATATTTGTGCTAACAGCTTACATGGCATTTTGAAAAGTGGAAAAGTCGTCAACTTGTGATCCAAAAACAAGAAATCCTAACTGAGCATAAGCAAAGAATATTATAAAAAACATGATGGCAAATCCTACTATGTCTTTGAGACAGCGGGACAAGGTTGTTGACAGCTGAGACATTGTCTTGTTAAAGCTTATGAATTTGAATATCTGAAAAAGAACAAAGTTAATTGAAATAGAAGAATATTCAGTATCACAATTACTTAGAGTAAGTTAAATTAATTTCAGAAAAAAATTGCTTCAAATTAAAGGAAGTGCTTAATGATAGGAGTGTTTGAGGATTAGCCCACAATCATTCCAGGACAAAACTACTTTTATAATTACTTTATAGTTAAGAAAATCCTTTTGCTTTTTCATAACGTTGCAGCTTCAGTTCCCATTTTGTTAGTAAAAGATATGTCTAATCTGCTGTATTTAATATAATAAAATATAAATACCTTTATCCATGCAAAAAAGATGGTAATAGCAATTATATTGTTGTAATAAATGTACCAGTATGCAAGAAAATAGAAGTCTGAATATTTTTCAGTGTTTTTTAACAGGTCTTCAAGTAAGAGAAAAATTTGTATATTACAGTATATGTTGAAGGAAACGGCCACAAAACACAACTAAATGGAAAAATGAGAAAGGTTAAATTAGGGACGGTTTCTACCTCTAAATCTGCAGCCTATGAGCAGACAAAGGAGCAAGTTCATCAAAAGTTTAATAAAAATGGAGGGAGAAATAAGACGTAGGCTTTTACATGAATGAAAGTAAGCCTCGGGGCGCCTGGGTGGCGCAGTCGGTTAAGCGTCCGACTTCAGCCAGGTCACGATCTCGCGGTCCGTGAGTTCGAGCCCCGTGTCAGGCTCTGAGCTGATGGCTCGGAGCCTGGAGCCTGTTTCCGATTCTGTGTCTCCCTCTCTCTCTGCCCCTCCCCCGTTCATGCTGTCTCTCTCTGTCCCAAAAATAAATAAACGTTGGAAAAAAAAAAAAAAAAAGAAAGTAAGCCTCAACTTACAGAAGTTTAAAATAGCATAATGATCACAAAAGTAGAAAAATACTTATCACCTGACCATCCTAAACTATCTGCTTGTTTCTTTGAGTTATAAAACACAAATGTATAAAATGATTATGTTATTCTGACTAGGCTGTGTTTGTGCTCCATGTAACTACGTGATACCAAGAAGTTTATATTTTATTATTTATTTATTTATTATTTATAATTCCAGGGTAGTTAACATACATTGTTACGTTAGTTTCAGGTGTACAGTGTAGCAGCTCAACACTTCCATACACATGATATGTAAAAGTTTAATATTTTCTACCACCTAATACTAGAAGAAATATTTTACAGTAACACAAAAATAAGCCTTTTGAGAGCCTCTGACAACTCTTCCAGAAGAGGATTTCAGAACCAGGTTACCTCAAGTATCACCGCTTTAGAACGGTCATGAAAATCTTCCTTTGAACCTTTGCCTGAAATGCTCAGATAGTTAATCATTCAATGTTACGCTGTATAGTAAATTTTATCGGGGATAGTAGAGAAGTAGGTGGCTCATTTTCTGACTCTGAGACCCTTTTAATCTGGTTTTGGGAAAAAAGGCTTATATTTCTGGATTGGCTATAACTAAGGGTCAATAAGGGTGAAAGATCACGTTGTGTAAGCCAGAAATATTTGTTCACTGTTCCTAAGACCAATTGCTTACCATCTGTCCCACCCTGCCTATGTATCTATGTTTATTTTAATATGTTCCAGTGGTGAGAACGGACAGTTTTTGGAATTCCTTTCAGAGATTATCTCCCCCTTCCTGGTGTTCTCTGTGCCCACAGGCTACCCTCTGGCTGCTCACTCCCTTCTTCCCCCTCTTCCAGGATCTGCCTAGGCTTGATTTTGCATATTTTTTTCAAAATTGTGAGGAGGAAAGCAGATTGAGGCAACACAGGAGAGTACATGTCCAAAAATAACCATGATTTTCAACATGAGGCCCTATAAGAAACACATGTTTGAGTCGGGGAGGGAGACCTCTTGTGCACTTTAAATCATAATACCTATAGAATCACCTATTCTAACTTTATGCTGGCCTCTCAAGGACTAACTCAGGAAAGAAAGAGACTTCATCTTTTTGGTGGCACACCATTAGTATGCACTATGACAGTTCCTTTTATGATTGATACTTGCAGCTTTTTTTTTTTAATTTTTTTTTTCAACGTTTATTTTTTTTTGGGACAGAGAGAGACAGAGCATGAACGGGGAGGGGCAGAGAGAGAGGGAGACACAGAATCGGAAACAGGCTCCAGGCTCCGAGCCATCAGCCCAGAGCCTGACGCGGGGCTCGAACTCACGGACCGCGAGATCGTGACCTGGCTGAAGTCGGACGCTTAACCGACTGCGCCACCCAGGCGCCCCGACACTTGCAGCTTTTGAAGGAAGTTCCAGATGAGTAGAAAACCTCCTTACTTGGTAGATTCAGATATGATTCCCTTGAACAATACATATGAATATATACTTACCACCAGAAGTAGTAATTCTAGCCAGTTCCAAACACTTTTGAAATAGGCAGACTTAAATTCTCTTATTTTTTGAGCTTCTTGTGTTGTGAAGACAATAAGAAAAATACAAAATGTGATTTCACAGGAAGCAATAATATAATCATAGTGGCTAACGTATCTGAGGAGCTTCACAGAGTAAAACTGCCATGAAGTAATGATTCCTCCAGTTGCAGGGAATTCTGCCACCAATCTGTAAAATTAGGTTAGCGGAAGTCACTGTGTATTTATTTCAAGCATTTGTTTTTCAGTACCTAACTCATTGTGAAGTTTCTAATTAGTGATGATGTGTACTTTAAGAGTCAGGTATTTTGTACAAAATATGTTTTCTTAGCCTCATGTGTTCAACTTAAATTCTAGTGGATTTGCCTATTTTTTTTTAATGTTTATTTCTTTTTGAGACAGAGTGTGAGCAGGGGAGGGGCAGAGACAGGGTGACATAGGATCCAAAATGGGCTCTGTGCTGACAGCAGACAGCCTGATGTGGGGCTTGAATTCATGAACCAGGAGATCATGACCTGAGCCTAAGTCAGTTGCTTAACTGACTGAGCCACCCAGGTGCCCCAGATTTACTTATTTTTTAATGGCTCCACTTTTTTGTATTCTGAATATTCACAGTGGTCAGAGACCAACACAGTGGAGAAAGTAAGATGTGATTATAGGCAGACATTCTTCCTATTTTGTGCTCAGATTGTTTGGTTATAACTGGGAATACTATTTTATCTCCACAGGACAATGAGATGATGTTCAAGAAAATAGTACATGGTTGGTTACTGTTATTAGGACTCCCACCAAAATGCATAATTCTTGATTATTTCAGAGAAGGAAAATACACTCTCCCCCTTTAGATTAGCAGAGACACTTCTTGCTTCTAAATGTTAAGCTTATATATTCTACTTAAAACAAATGTTTTCTGTTTGCTTTACACACAGGATGTTGGATACAGGGATCTATATGCAAACAGAAGTATAAAAATTAATTCCACCATTAAATAAAAATATTTGACGTTGTTCACAGTATTTCTAGTGTTCTCTACAACTTTAGATAGCTAAGAATTGGCAGTAATTTAAAGAACGAGTATCTCTATCACGATGTAATTTTCCCACTTAGAAATATTAGCAAATATTATTGGGACTGGAATAAGGTGCTGCGAAAAAATATGTAAATAAATAAAACCAGTTAAATAGAAAACAGAACTGTTTAAAACTGTTTCACCTTGCACATAGTAGGTGCACAGCATCGAATAAGTGAGTGAAGTGAAACAAACCCAATATTTTGATCTGACATGTACACTAATAAGGGAAAAAAGGAACTGTATTGTTTAGTTTGCCAGATGTGTTTGCAAAAAGGAAAGTAAATGAATAAGGTCTTGACTTAAGTAATGTGCTCCCCTACAACTACTGATTAGATATACTACCAGTTTAAAGTTTCAAAATCTGCTGGTTTTAAAAAGTAACATTTTATTTTATTTTATTTTTAATGTTTATTTATTTTTGAGAGAGAGCACTAGCTGGAGAGGGGCAGAGAGAGAGAGAGAGAGAGACAGAGAGACAGAGACAGAGGATCCAAAGTAGGCTCTGTGCTGATAGCAGAGAGCCCTATGTGGGGCTCAGACTCACAAACCACGAGATCATGACCTGAGCCGAAGTCTGATACTTAACCAACTGGGCCATCCAGGCCCCCCTAAAAAGTAACATTTTAAAAGGTAACACAGAATAAGCATAAAACCCACAGACAGGAAATCTGGACTTAGTCTAGGGGTAACAAGGAGTTCTTTGTATGATTTTAGGCCAGTTATCCCAATGTTTCTCCTCTTATTTAAGGCATACAAATGACTTGTCCTCTTTATCCTGATCAGGACTATTGGAAAGAGTGATTAATGTTGGTAAAAGCTCTTATTTTCTGAAAAAAGAGAAAAAAGCTATAAAATAAGTGGTGTAATATCCATTGGCTACTTAAGAGAATTCATTTATTTTATTCATTTTGTACAGGGTTTATTCTATTTTCTTATTATTTTTTTAAAGTTTATTTTTATTTCTGAGAGAGATTGAGAGCAAGAGAGAGTGGGGAAGCGGCAGAGAGAGAAGGAGAGAGAGAATCCCAAGCAGGCTCTGTGTTATCAGCCTGAACCCAAAGCGCTATCAGTGCAGAGCCTGATGCAGGGTCCAATCTCCCGAACCATAAGATCATGACCTGAGCCAAGATCAAGAATCAGATGCTTAACTCAGCTGAGCCACCCAGGAGCCCCTATTTTTGTACAGATTTTAAAGTCCAAGGCTGTGTTTCACTGTCACTGTTGCACAAGGGCAACATCCTCTAATCAGAGTAGACACCGAGTCCATATTTCATTCAGAGTAAAAATGTAAAACTCATGAGAGAGAAGTGGCTCACTGAGATTTTAGTGGACACTACTTTTTGCTTTTCGAGCAGTCATTATCCCAGTCCTCCTTTCTACAGAACCCCTACTGTATTAGGCATCCACCATTCCCAGAGCACTCAGAGAAAGTGGATTCAATCCCCAGGCAGATCCAATCATGGCAATCCTATTTCCTTTGCCAGTGTTTGGTTCTATAACACAGGCCTAAAGCCAATTAGCATGGTCCAGGTTAGGCAGATGACCTAAGGTCATCAGACTGATGGAGATAATTTTTTCTCTTTAGATAGTTTTGTCTCTTCCCACTATCTCTTCCTTCTTTTTCTCTTCCTCCTCTTCCTTCTATAGGAATGTCTCTCATCATCCTCCTGGGTCTAAGTTAGCCCAGGTATGTATGTCCGTATCGTGCAATGGACAGAAATGCAAGAGAGCAAGTTTTAATGTGCAAACTCATTTCAAACTTCTGCTTGTATCCTATCTGCTCCCATGCCAAGTCACAAAGATGAGCCCAGGTTAGGAGCCAGGGAAGTGCACCCCTCCCTGAGTGGCAGGGCACCGTGAGGTTATATGGCGGAGATGTGAAGAACTGGGGCCACTTTTGCAAGGTCACCACAGGCTCTAGCCAGTTCTAGGATGCTGGGTACTGGTATATATTGTTTGAAATTTAAATTGTTCATTCTCGAGACAAGAATTCATACCTTACTAAAGAAGCTCATTCTGAAAGCAAATCAATGGATCTGAATGATCTGATTTAGAGGAAGTAATCAAGACTAAATGTTAGATCTGTGCAGCTGCAGAATGACAAGAAATAAGACTATGTGTTCTTAATATAAAACTGACATATTGTATGTAATTCTCCATGTTCTTGAATATCTTCCAAAACAATGAAACAATGAATATGATGTTGCTTTACCACATTTTTCATTATTGGCATAAGTTCATTGTATTTATTTTGAGGCCTATGATTTTAATCTCAGCAAACACACAAACTGGAAACCCTAACAAGGGCTCTGGATGCTATTTATTTTATTAATTAATCCATTTATTAATTATTTAAAATGTTTTTAATGTTTATTTATTTTTGAGAGACAGAGAAACATACAGAGTGCCAGTGAGAGGGACAGTGAGAGACAGGGAGACACAGAATGTGAAGCAGGCTCCAGGCTCTGAGCTGTCAGCACAGAGCCCGATGAAGGGCCTGAACTCACAAACCCTGGGATCATGACCTGAGCTGAAGTTGTATGCTTAAACTGACTGAGCCACCCGGGTATTCCTTCATTTATTTTTTAAGGAGGCTCCATGCCCTGAACTCCATGGGTCCTGAACTCAAGACCCTGAGAAAAAGAATCTCATGCTCCACTGACTGAGCCAGCCAGGCACCCCTCTGGAGGCTTAAAAAAAAAAAAGTTACAGACAGGGAGGGAGCCAAACCATAAGAGACTCTTAAGGACTGAGAACAAACTGAGGGTTGATGGGGGGGTGAGGGAGAGGGAAATTGGGTGATGGGCATGGAGGAGGGCACTTGTTGGAATGAGCACTGGGTGTTGTATGGAAACAAATTTGACAATAAATTATATTTTAAAAAACCCAATATACTACGGTTTTGAGTCACTTACCTGATGATGCAAAACAGGTTTATGTTAGCATTGTATAACGAAAAATCAATGAAAATAACTCTGGTCCCTCTTGTGATCCAGCTGTTGAGTCGAAGGTTAATGAACTTGCTTTTTGTGTCAGATTTTGATTTTGATAAAGTGAAAATAAATCCCCCATTTCGGTAAACACCAACAAATCCCCAGTGCCAAGGGGAGCTACTATTAGGAGTAGAGTACTTCCATCTATTAGGTATAAAAAGAATAATGGAGAGATGAGAAAGCCTGACTGAAGTATATGCATAAGCTAACCTTAAAAAAAAAAAGCAGTATTAAGTATCACAGTAATTTTGAAGCAAGACAATGAGTTAAGGATTAAGATTTAATATAGTTTTTAAAGTTTATTTATTTAGAGAGAGAGAGTGAGGGAGGGGTAGAGAGAGGCAGAGAGAGAATCTCAAGTGGGCTCTGTGCTGCCAACGTGGACGCTGACACGGGGCTCAAACCGACAAATGGTGAGATCATGACTTGACCTGAAGTTGGACGCTTAACCTACTGAGCCACCCAGGTGCCCCAAGATTTAATATGTTTTCACTTTTTGGTGTGTATTGTGGGCAACACACTGGATTAGATGCTGTGAGAAAAGTTTTTTTAAAAAAATCCGTCTGTTGCCTCAGGGAACTTAAAATCGAGAGAACAATGATTTTTTTTTTTTTTCTTTCATACATGTCTCTGTTGTCTTATGAGATCTTTAGGCTTTTTGTAGGACAGGAATATCAAGGGCTGTGATTTGGAAATATCTATTTCAGTATGGTAAAAGTGGGGCTTCATAGTCTGTCTTCTACAGGTCATGTACCATTTATAAATGTCAATAAAGAAGAGCTTTGTTACAATGTCTATATTGTTATAATGAAAACTCATAAATCAGAGTAAAATGAGCATACCTAAATTGTTTCCATCCTTTCTACTTTTAACTTAATTATGCGATTTCAAAACATAAAGCCTTAACTCCTCATTTCAGTCCCTGTTCAGTTTCCTCAAACAGATTTGAAGGATTATCTGAAGATGCATTGCTTCAACTCGTTTTTCTATCAATAATACTATGTTTGTTTCCAGGAGGAGGGATAAGTGGTAACACTAAGAAAAAATACTCAGATTTAATGATAATTTCATTGTTGTATTTTCCAGTGTTTTCCACATGGTTGTTAAAATGAAACAAGAACATTTATTATACCAACCTTCTCCTACTTCCAATTTTTATGATGTTTTTAATTAGTGAATGTTTCATTTTAGATGGACAAACAAGCACACATTGATTATTAATTTGGTTATTAGGGAATGATAAGTATTACGATTCCAAATCTATAGTGTTAATTTTGGTATTTAAATTACTTGTAGTTGGGGGCACCTGGGTGGCTCAGTCGGTTGAGCGTCTGACTTCGCTCAGGTCACGATCTCACGGTCCGTGAGTTCGAGCCCCGCATCAGGCTCTGTGCTGACAGCTCAGAGCCTGGAGCCTGCTTCAGATTCTGTGTCTCCCTCTCTCTCTGGCCCTCCCCCCGTTCATGCTCTGTCTCTCTCTGTCTCAAAAATAAATAAATGTCAAAAAAAAATTAAAAAAAATAAATTACTTGTAGTTGTTATGAGAAATTGGAATATTAGAATACCTAACAGATTAGTTTTCAGATTCCAGTTTAAAATGTGCAATTGGGTAATTGATTTATTTTGTAATTTTTCATTGAAAGAGAAGTAGTGTATAGTACTGTAATATTTAAGGTGTTGTGTCAGCATACTTATGCGTTTATTAGATTTATGAGAATTATACATTGCTATCCTATAGTATAGCCAAAAACTTAAACAAAGGAAAAACAAATCAACAAAAACCACAATGCAATGATTAATTTTGGGGCTATAGGAGAGGTTGTTGAACAAAACAAATTTTAATCACTGTTCATATTTATAATATGAATCATTAATGGACTTGTTATCAACTTGTTAATTGAATTGTTAATCGACTCATGATTAACAAAAATTATGATTTAACTACAGGCTAAGAAAAGTGTGTTGAGGGAGAGACACATGACAGACGACTTTCATGACAGAGATGGTAGGTACATAAAACTGTAAAATCAAGTAATAGCAGTATAAAGCGCATTATTTAGAAATAGGATGTACAGGGGTGCCAGGGTGGCTCAGTCGGTCAAGCATCAGGCTCTTGATTTTGGCTCAGGTTACGATCTCGTGGCTCGTGAGTTCAAGCCACATATTGGGCTCAGCACTGATAGCGTGGAGCCTATTTGGGATTCTGTCTGCCTCTCTCTCTGTCCCTCCCCCACTTGTGCTCTCTCTCTCTCTCTCTCAAAAGAAATAAATAAACTTAAATAGGAAGTATTTACCAAAAGAAACAACTAAAAGAGCTAAAAGGGGCTGCTTCTGAAGAACTGTGAATAGGAAAGGGTGGATATTTGTATTTGTAACATTTTGATAAGTATTAAATTAAAAAACTTGTTCTCTGCCCCCTATGATTTTCATAGGATCCTAAAAGCAATGATACCAGCAGTTTCTGTATTGAGGGGAGGAAATGTCAGTGGCTTTGGGTTTCATGTTTTCAGTACAGACAGAATTAGCCTCAGCCAATTTGGAGAACCCTGCTAGAATACCTTTGGGAAGGCGTCATCAGATGCGGTGCCGCCACGGCATAACTGCTCCTTTTCAGCGTTGGCAATAACGGAAGGTATCGCTGAAGTCAGCCAGAGTGAAAAAGGAGGGAAGCGGCGGAGCACACTTAAGACACTCCCTGGGGTCCCAAGAAGCATTTGGCATGGGTCTGAGGGAGTCTGGTCAGAGACTGAAAAGCTGAGTATTGTAAAAGCGTAGACAGATTCCTTACCCTGTGTCCGGAACGACTTAGCACTTCATATACCCGAGTTAGAAAAAAAAGAATACTCTCTTATATCCTTTGGTAAACAAAATAACAGGTTCACTCTTACGTTTCTTTTTTTATTAAGTTTTTTTTTTTAAGGTTCATTTATTTATTTTAAGAGAGAGAGAGCAAGTAGGGGAGGGGCAGAGAGAATCCTAAGCAGGCTCCTCACTGTCAGCACAGAGCCCGATGCAGGGTTCGAACTCATGAACTGTGAGATCTCGACCTGAACTGAACCCAGGAGTTGGGCGTTTAACCAACTGAGCCACTCAGGCACCCCCACTCTTACATTTCTAAACACTGCTCCTCTGAGTCTTCCTCTGGTACGATTATTGAAATAGTCTCCTTACCTGCCAGACCTTTGTTGGTTTATTTGTAAAATATACCTATTTTCCCAGTTTTTAAAAGGTACAAAGGCAAGAGGCTAGAAAAAGTTACATGTAACTACTTACTCAGTTTCCTGCTTAAGGCCAAAATCAGACGTATCTTCATTGCTAGAAGTGTATTTGTCATAACATTCACTCATCAAAGACTGAAAGGATGAATAGACCTTGCATGTGTTGTTGCGGACTCTTAGTTGACGGACTCTGGGCACTCCTAAAAGTATGTTCTCATAGTAGATGCGACTGCTGTTCTTTAGATTATACAAAGTCTTGTTCGTGTACCATGCATCCCAGTACAGACCTTCCAAAAGGGGTCCTTCCATAAACTTCATATAGAAAGATAAATGTTATGGGAAAAGTATTTTCATGTCATTTGTATAACAGAATCTACATTTAACATTACCTTAAAAGCATGAGTCAGTGAGTGTATGAGTATGAAAATTATTGACCAAGCCACCATTAACATGAATGGAAATGATGATGTCGAGGAGGATAATGAAGATGGTTAATATTTACTGAGCCCTTAGGTAGTAGGCAATGCTCTAGTTCTTTAGAAATACTAACTCCTTTAATTCCACAACCTTTTACCCTTTCTTATATGAGGGGTACACCAACAATTGTCCCCTAAGAGTATCAATGCCCATAGCCATGTATTCATGGTTGTCATGGCCCTAATTCAGGACTTGCCCTCAGAGTTGTCTGTGTTCCCCTTCCCCACTAACTCCAGTGGTGGCAACTGCTACTCTTGGCTCTGCCCTTCTAAGAGATCCCAAACCCAGGGTTCAGTTTTTTCTTTTCTGCCTTTGTTTTCTTTGCCACTGGCCATGCATACTTCAAGACAGTACAATAAAAAAGAAGCAGGGTGATCTCCACTTCTAGTCTCGGGGGAAATTTCCTCTTTCTTTCATATTTCACCTGGTCTATACCAATGACCTCTAATCATCTGCCCTCATCTCACACTTCCCCTCTCCCTCTCAGGAAGTGACCTTGTCTCTTTCATAGGTTTTAGATTCCTAGCATGACATTCATGATTTGACCTCTTGTTCAGTTTATAGTTTGCCCTTTCCACCTCATCTTCTACATGCCTATAATGCCAAACAAAGTGCCATATGTAGAATTACTTATAGCATGTACTGTTTATTCTTCCTAGAATGCCCTGTTACTCATCCTTTAAAACTCAACTGAATTGTCATCACCTCTAGAAAACATTCCTATCTCTTCTTTATGTGCCCCAATGTTTGCGACTTGGGATACCTGAAACTTCTGTTCTCTTAATGTGAGCATCTTGCTAAGTTAAATGTGATGTAAAAAACAAATCTGTTCCAATGTTGATGGAATGATTCTCTCACATAGTTAAAAACACTATAAAGTTATATTTTACATATGTACTATTTATTTGATTATATACTGTACATTACTGTAATACACACAGTATAGGGCTGCATACCAAAATTATATATCTCTCACTTTACAGGCCATGAAAGGATTTTTTTTTAAGTTTATTTTTTTCAGTAATCTCTACACCCAAAGTGGGGCTCAAGCCTAGAACTCCAAGATCAAGAGACACTTGCTCTTCTGAATGAGCCAGCCAGGCGCCCCCATTTAAGGATTTTTTAAGAATAATTTTCACTATACACAACTATAGTTTGATGCGGATCCTAACCCCACATAATGTTTTTCCAAATGCAAAGATAGTGTTAAAAAAAGTATAACTTTTTTAAAAGTTATAAAAACCCTATTACACTGAGAGCATAGGTTCTCAATATACACTTACTAATTGGTTGATTCTAAAAGTTTAAATAAATGATATTCATTTTTACTCATTCCTTCAACAAATATGTCTCCAGTGCCTATTACTTGTGCCAAGAGTTTGTTTATGCAATACCATAAGCTACTTCATTCTCAGTCACATGATACCTTACCTTCCAAAAATCAGTTATGCTGTGAATAGACTTAAAGTTGGTTCTTTCATCACCAGGCACAGAAGTGTCCAAAAATAGAGATGACATAACTTTGTTTAAGTAATACATATGTGGGTTTACCATGCCAAAAGTCACTAAGGAGAAGAATTTTTGTTTACAAATTTGTCTTTAAAAAGTCAGTTTATCAGGATTAAAAGTTAGTTAGATTTTGTTCCCAATCTTGTTTTGAAAATCCAAATTTTTTCTTGACTAATTATAAAAGTAATTTAAAAAATGAAAATAGAAATATACAAAACAGGAAGAAGTTTCTTGTCATCTCACTGCTAGAGTTAGGTTTAGCACATATTCTTGAGATTTTTCTGTATGCCTACACATTTATAAAGAAAATAAGTTTATTTTCACAAAAATGAGATCGCATTATGCATAGTCTTCTGCCAGTTAGCTTTTTCTCTATTTTTACAGTAAGCAATATAATGGTAAATAGTTAAAGCTATGGACTTTGAAATCAAACAGATGATTTGAGTCCCATCATAAGGATAATACCTGATAGTTTTGTTATGAGAAGTGAGATAATGCATGTGGAGCACTTAAACCATGTTTTGGCACAAGATAAGAATTTTTAAAACTATTAACTAATATTCATTCTCTCTCTAGGAGTAGGTGGGTAGGTTTTAGAGAAGGGTATAGACTAACTGTGTCTCTCTCTCTCTCTCTCTTTTTTTTTTTTTTGCTAGAAACCTTTTAGTTTTTACAAGTATCTATCTTCAACATTACTTCGTGGCACATGAGTTTATGCCATGCTTTAATGTTCCATATTATTTCACTGTATATACCAAAATGTTAAACAAATCCTCTGTTGATGAAGATTTAAGTTGCTTTCAATTCTTCCTAATTATAAAAAGGTTTTTTTTATATCTGTGAATAATGGAATTATGATCTTTTATATTTTTCTGTTCCCCAAATGTTGTAATAAGCATTTAAAAACCAGTCTAAGCTGGAGTTGTCTTTTCAATCAAGATTTGACCCAAATTCACTCCAACTATACCAAGGAGTTAACGGATATATAATTGCCAATGTGTAGGCCATGTCAACTTGTGATACGTCTGGCCATTGAGCTTACACCTACTATTTGTTGGGCACTCAAAGGATAAAATACTCCTTAATACTGATTCAGTCAATGCTCTTGACCCACAGACAGGTGAAATGCAGGTTGATATGTTTTCCTAGTCTCCTTATTAAAGATTTGCATTGTTCTATACCTTCTGTGATTGGGCACCAGCATACTTTACTGTTGTGCAATTTTACTATCACACAGCTGTGCAATAGGCCAGGGAAAAGAGCAAAGCAGACAAGACTAACTTCTTTGGCCTCATTTGTAGTTTGACCTATGAAACTGAGATAATGTATCAACATGGTTCTAAAAGACATCATGTGACAATTGCCAACTCAAGGGAATAACTGTACTCAAGAAAGAACTGACAACTAAAAGTAATAACTCAATCAATGCTGACGATGAAAGCTTTTCATTATGTCTGTGACTTAAAGCTTTGCCCTTTAAAAGATGGAAATAGTGTACATCTAAAGGAATTTAAGATAGGTCTAAAATACGTCAATACTTTTTTTAGAAGTCTTAGTCTGAAAGTCTGTGGTAAAGTACATATGTTTTACTTTTCACCTCCACATAACTTCTTAGTTCAGTGTCTTCATCTACATCTGTACTTACATATACATAGGTTTATTAAAAAAATAAAGTAGAGTGACAACTCCTGAAGTGTGGTTCTAATTTCTACTTCCTTTCTGTAATGCAGCTTAGGTTTCGGAGCCCCTGTGAGACATAAAACAAATTTTTTCTTTACATTATTATGTAATTTATAAAGTATATAAGTAACCATGATGGAACTGTGTTTTCCACTTTTATTCTGATACACTGTGTGAAGGCAAGCTCCAATTGCTTCTGGTTATTTTTTTTATTCTCACTTTCATGAAGGAGGAATAATTACAACATTCCCATGGGGGTGAGCGGGCAGTCACTTTATGACTGTACACTAATGAATTTTATGACATGGACGTTTTCTCAATAGTCCCGTCTGAAAGTGAAAAAGCAAAATACAAATAAATAAATAATAAAGAAAGAAAGAAAGAAAGAAAGAAAGAAAGAAAGAAAGAAAGAAA